CATGGAGAGGCGGTCAAGCTCACGCTGAAGCAAGTTGCAGTCGTCGGGCCCCTCAGTTAGCCTTCTTACCTTAAGATCATGTTCAAACAACGCGCAAGATGAACTGAGGCAAATCTTTGATGTGGGTTAGGAACAACATGGGCTCAAGAACTGTGCCCTGCGAGGCTACTGGTCGAGGAATGGCACTCAGTCAAGTGGTTGTCCACCAGCTCCCTCCACGTCCGACCAATAAGGAAGTTACTGATCCACTGGTACAGTGAGCCACGAACACCGCGCACCTGCCGTTTCCATAGGAAGATCTTGTTTCGTCTGACCAAACGCTTTACTGAAATCGATGTAAGTGACGTCAACCGACTTCCCATTGGTTTAGCGCCTGCAACCATTCGTGCCTCGAAAGCAGCAGCTTCGTGATGCATGATCGGCCTCACAGGAAACCGTGCTACGCGGACGTCAAGATGATTTTTGACTCCAGCTACTGAAGATGACCACGCTTCACGATCTTATCCAGTGTCTTAGCCAAAACAGAGGTCATGCATATCGCCCGGCAGTTGTCCACCTTGCTCGAATCCTATCCTTTCGGAATCGGTTTCACCACTGAGCATTTCCAATCGCTCGGCAATAAACCGGCGAACAGCGACCTGTTGATTAGCTCGGTCACCGAAAGCGAGATAATGGCTGATAGCGATTTAAGGATCAGCAGATGGGGCCCATCAAGCCCGGCAGGCTTGGTACCGTCAAGACTGGCGAGCAATTTGCGCACATCCTGAATGCTGTAGTACAGGCTGTCCAGTTCGGTAATGGCGACATGCATCGAACTCGGTACGGATGCCTGGTTATCTGCAAAACAGAAGCGAAGTGCGCCGCCACCGCAGAAGCACGCTAAGTATTGTAAACTAGGGGCTGTCCGTCCAAGCCCTCCGAAACAGGCACATCAACTGTCGGCGTCGCTTCGCTTATGCGTAGATCCTCTTGGAAGCACCTTTTTCTGCGGTTGCAAGCTGCTCTTCGAAGCATCGATGTTTGGTCATTTTCGCGCCGTTGCAAGCGTTGCGTTGCCTCTTGTGCGCCTCGTAATCTTCCACAAAGCCAGACTGCACGAATTAATTCCATAGCCAGCGTCGCCGTCCAGCCAGTTTGCCATACAGTGTGGTTTGACTGGTCCAGATTTCCCATGTTTAATGGGCACATACCGGGCGCACAATGATTTTACTGCCTCCTTTATGACAGACCAACATGATTCAACTGAGGAATCCTGTTTTAATGACCAGTCCATCTGGTTTGCGGCTCGAGGGTGGCCATTAAATTTTACCTTCCAGTAGTTGAAGGCTGGCTCCAGCTGGGAAGTAAAAAGCAGTGGCAGTTCTGAGCGCACCATGACCATCCAGTGGTCACTTGCTCCAAGGGGCTCCAAGATCTGTATGTCATGCACACGTTGCTCACACCTGCTTAGCAACGGGTCCAGGCATGATGGAGTTAAGCGCGCGATAACGCGAGTCGGCTGACTGATGGTGCTGTGTGACCCCCAGTTTCAAACATCTCCGCAAAATTCCTTTCGACTTCGCAGTGGCCGGGGTGAAGCTCGAGATCGGGCAACCGTATTCGAGGAAGGTTGAAATCGCCCATGAGCAGGAATTGCGGACGACTTATGTAGTTACGCACATAACGTAACCTGCACAAGTTTCGGCTCAGTGGACTGCGATACACAACACCCACGGGGAGTTCGCCACTTCTCAGGTGGATCGAACACCATATCTGCACACGCAGGCCATCACCGCTTCTGTAGATGCTCGCGAGTCTTCAACACAAGGAAGACCGTATCTACAGCAGCATGCCACCGCGGTCACTTGATAGCCTATCACAGCGGAAGCAAGAATATCCGCTGATTTCGACTTCTTGTGCGGTTGTCTCTAAACTTACGCAACATTCAGCTAGGCCCTATACGTCTGGTTGCTGAGAGGCAACAAAGTGGTAAACGCCGTCTCGTGTGTTCGTTAGACTACAAACATTCGTAAAGGCTACACGCAGGCCGCAGTAGGAACCGTGGAACGTGCGTGAAGCATTAGAGACCTGTTCATCCGGATTCGGGGAGGAACTCAGCTAACTATTCGAAAATTCACAATGCGAAGATTCATTTCCCGCTTTCAGCGCGCCGCTTTAGTTCAATCTTGGCAGACTTGAGTTTTTCTCAGTCTGCTGCATCCATGTATGCAAGCACATGCATCTCTAAACCCTTAAGTCTACCGAGGCGCGGTACTATCAAACTCGGATCTCGACTGTTATTGACTTGCAAATATAGTCGTAGGTCTGGAGGCCAGCCCAGTACGCTGCACGTTCATAACACAGCATTGAAGGATGAGCTGCGTTTTATCGCAGTTAGATATCAGTCATAGTGGTCCGCCGCCGTCACAAGTGATTCAGTGTCATTAGTCGCTGAATCGTACGAGTAAAGTTATGGGCTGAAATCCAGGTGAATCCGGCGCCTACAACCTACCGAGAGATCCAGTAAGACGAAACGACCGCTTGGTGCTCTCCTTGGCGTGGGTTGGCTGTCTGGCTAGGTCTAAGTGCTAGGATTCATTTCGGAAAATTCGAACCAGTTGCTCATCAGAATCGGAATATTGCCTCGGACACAGATCCATTGGCGATGCCTGTCGTATTGATATATAATCGCTTTCTTCAGCCATATTTTAATCACAACCTCAAACCCATGGTATCACCATCAGCAGTAGAATTGTGCACGTTATTGCACTCGACTCTGATCACCTCCCAGTGGCTGCTTCAATACAACGCAAATTTCTTAATTGAACTAAACGCACAGCTGCGTAGGCTCTTGCTCGTTAGCACGATTCGTCAGCTTCGTGCCGCAAACACAATACCTAATGTTCACATCAGCTGACATTTTTGTGTGAGGTGGAAAAGCCGAATGCGAGTTGAACTAGTCTCAATTACCCAAAGCAAACGCCACTCGAAGTCACTTTCCTGCGCCCAAATATTGGCTACATTTTGATCAAAGAAAGATTGTTCCATGAACATGGCAGTGCCGGGGTGTCCGTAACAAGTGGAGACGTATACCCAGCAAGACTTTCTCGTACTGATTGGGTGCATTAATGTATCTCGAGGGCTCGCAAGTTTGAGGACGTTGATAACATTCGCAATTCCCGAGTGCTATTTGGGGGTCCTGTGGTTTGGGCATTATCTGAGTAAATTGACGATACTCTACTCCCAAGCAGGTTGACCGTTAAACTCCTTGAATAGTGAGAGAGGCCGTTCAACTGGCTTAATATATCAGGACTGTTAGCTGTGTCAAGTAGACAAAATTAGGACGCAGGCGTAACAGCACACGCAGAGCATCAACGATACCAGACATAAGCCGGAGTTTCGGAATCAGACCACGTGCTTGCTGGCTTTGGCGACTCACTAGTCGCTACCGGCTCCTGTATTCGATACCAACTAGCGCAAAATAGTAATGTCTTCGTAAGAGTCGTTGTCAATGCTCATTCTAGTCCTTGTTGTATATCAAAGGATAAATTATGCTAATCATCGTGGTACTAGTCAAGGCTTAATTGTCCGTGAGCCCTTCACGTGCAGCGCATAGTTGCAACTCATTATCTAAGTGAGGGGCGAATCGGAAAACGTTCAGGGCGGTTTCCGCTCTGCACGTTACCCCCAGTCTGCTCTTCGTTTTCTTCTCGAACATTAGTATATCAGTAAAATACCAATCATTTGGTCTTCCATTATATGATAGCTGTTTTACTCTCCCGATCCTAACCTTTTATGTGGTGTTCCCTGTGAAGTGCTTGCGGGAGAACATTTCCAATCAAAAATTTATGTAGGGGGTAGCGAAAATCTCCCCGAACTTCAGAATGCGTACCGGTTGTCATACTACTGTTGTTCTTTTTTAGTTTGGATCGAACTTAATATCCGAGACCCAATTGTACCCTATTTCTTTTCTATTATGGTAAAAGATTTTCTGGTCGACTCTGTCAAACTTACGGTATGTGGAGGATTTGTACGCAGCTGGCCAGTTGACGCTGCATGATAGACGATCAGTTAGCGGTTTACACTGGCATGAGTTATGCTCCTTTAAAGTGGATAACCCATTTCTAGGATTAACCAGGCCCACCACTAATCCTCATAACCTCCGTACAGCCGCTCGAAATTGTTGCCTTGTTTGCTTTTCTGATCAGCTTCTCAGCCCTCGCGATCATATAAAAGGATGGGCAGCCGCACCGATTACTAGCTGTTGTGTGGCCTCTCAATGCGCGGAACACTTTTGGTTAAGGAAGGTGTTTATACAACGGGGATACAATCAGATTTACCATATGTCTGAATGCAAACAATGCCTGCGATGCGTTGCTCAGGTCTGCCATGAGCGCCGTGTCCGCAATGCCGAAGTCGGTAGCCTGATGTTTGCAGACAGACCACTAGATCCCTCATTAGGATATCTATTGAAACGAAACCGTCTCCGGTGATTCGGTCACATGCTCTGCATCCCTGAAATCCAACGCTCTGGTCATATTATATTTGCCATGGATGCACCTAGCTGAGTGAGATAGCCAGTGTTTGAGATGGCACGTGTACATGAAGAATCTCACAGAAATGCGAAGTTTGCTTGATACGTGTCATCTTTCCGGTTCGTATTATAGAGATCGGCCTTGTAATTTGTTAGATGCATCATTAAATATTGTACAGGACAACAGGTCTGTATTTTCCTAGATGCACTCAATCGTACTGCACCCTTATGAGCTCCACATATGAATTTCATTTCTTGTTCATACCTGTTGAAGGCACATTATTTTGCATGTTAGCTATTTTACCACCGTGTCAAACTAGCAAGAAAATCATGCCCTACGGCGTGCATCAATTTGACAACGTGAAGTGAAAAGAATGCTGTTGTTCACTTACTTCCATGCATGAGCTAAGAATGAACACTTGAACATTTTATCTTGTTTGGTCACGCAGAACAGCTAAAATCGCGTTATTTTATATACTTTTTGTAGACATTCAACCATATCGGTTTCACCTTACTCCAAGAACCCGGGGCTTTCGGCTACTTTTGGATCATCTTCGTGACTACTTCGACGCCGTGTACGACATATCAGTAGTTTATGCAGACAAAAACGGTTACCCCTTAGATCGCCGAAAACGGATGCCACAATTAACAGGTAAATTATTCGAAACTATTCTATCCCCACCTGGAATTGTTTGGTATGTCGATAAATTGCATGCGTTCTGTTGCACGAATCCAGACACTTTCACCTGGACTTTAATATCCTTAGTAGTACTGCATTCCAACATGTTCACTTAGTAGTAAGTCAGAACAGCGTTCGGTACTTTTAACCGATGGTTATGTTGTGGGTCATTGTGATTCAAATTATCCCCGCAGACCGTTTGTGTAACTTCCAGTTGCGCAAGAATTCGATTCATTAGGATAGAATTCAATGCATGACACCCAGCACACGGATGTCTACGGTGCTGTGGATAGCTATTAATATTTTCGTTCCACAATACTAAGCTTTATGGTAGCTGATTTCTTTGTATCATCTAAAACCACGCTTTCACAAAAGTCACACTCACTGATCACGGATAGTCTGTACGTGACAGTTTCAAACACTCCACCACATTGATAGTGTGAAACTAAGTATTTCGATAGATTGTAGACGTCACAGAACGGATGAGGGGAAATTCCTGTAAACCATCAGATACCCCTAAAGAGTACAGGATAAATCAATTTGGTGTTGTGAAATCGCTTCGGTTTGACTTCAGCGCATAACATCCGCCTAAATAAAATCCATATGTCAGGGTGTATTTGGTGGAGTGCCTGATTCACGTAATGAGCCGTATGTAGCTTACTGGAATTTGTAAGTAATTGCACAGGAGTCATTCTTTGTGTCGGCCATCCGCATCACACTAGTGAAAAGCGATCTTTGCTAGGGCTGCACGATCGCAAACTGGACGTCATAGTTGTGCAGCGAACTGCGCCATGCTTCCCTTCATGTGTGTTTATTCTCGTGGTTAAGCCACGCAATGACGACAAGCATCATAACATTCTGCACCGATTTCCTTTAGTTTATCACGCATTACTAGATATACATATAAGTTTACGAAACGTATTCAACCAAATCGAGAGCTTGGTGGTCTGCATTAATTATTTAGCACGTAGATACTGGAGGTCTGCAAACGTCTCCACTACGCCTGTTCCAAGTACTTCGAAATGAGTAACAGGAAAGAAGGGGTAGAGTTTACAGTTTACAAAAGCGAGCTTTATTGGTTCGCAAAATTCCGGAAATCCATACTTACATGCTGCTAACTCACACGTTTGAAAACAAATTTTGTTTAAATTTCCTTCAAAAACACTTACGGTTACCTTAGATTTGTTAAATTGGCGGACAAACAACCACAACGTAATTGATCGCTATAGCACAGAGATGGTTGGATTAACCGCGTTAACCAGCTGGAGGCTTCGACATAGGAAACATCACATACGATTGATGCAAACATGAAGCAGGAATATAGAAAAGTGTATGAAATTGTCTTCCTATTAGTTAGCATTGCGTTCAGGTAACGTACGGGCAAAAACGTCGTTATAGGATGATAGTCGATTTATAAAAAGACTAAGTCATTGTGGATAAACACCACAGGTAAATGAAATTAATGGAAATTCCTTAAAAGCGAATAATCAGTTTTGGATACATTAATGTTGGGCATTTTTCTATCGTGTGACGCACAAAAGCTGTGTACTTATGTCTCTTGGTTAATTTATCCCGCCAGAATGTTAGCACTATCGACGGTGTTACAAAACGGCGTAAATCAACCAAACCTGTGCGGATATTATAAGCTTATAACCAATCTCTATGGCCAAAAGTAACTAAAGTTGTGTGTAGCAACCATTACTGTTCAATCGTTTTTATCACGATCCATAGTATCTTGAACGCTAGGTCACACTGTTAACGCTTTCCGTCGAATTTTTCTCAGATTGGTTGAACAGTTATCATACGCTGCATGTGCATATCAGGCGCTTACCAATTCAACACGTTCCACATGATGGTGAGAAGATAGATGCATGGATTCACGATCTATTCCACATCAAAGATGAGTGAGTGGATTAGTTCGGGTCTACTTGGAAAATGATTTTATAAAGCATTTAATGGACTCGATAGCTATTCAGAAGCTCTTGTGTTGTATACGAACAAGTGGCAAAAGTGTGGAAGCACGGGTCAGCCTACCGATGAATTCTCTACAACCCATCGGCCTATTATATGTTAACGGTCAAACACTGAAGCATCAGTAACATATGTCGAACACACAGCACAATGTTTACTCATCCTCCTACGTATTAAGTCAGAGCTTACTGCAATCCTATTCTTTTTTCCGACGTGTTACATGTACAGTATTCATGATTTCTCGACCCCTAGTGTGTTGTTTTACATCGTCATTCTTATATCGGAATATAAGGCTATCGCTGGATTGGCTTCAAGATTCATCCTGTCTCCTTGTACAGATAGATGGCTAGTAAACACGTCCACCTCGTCAGAGAGTCTGATGACTCCGTGTTGTTTCAATGGTTTTGAGAAGATCAAACTATGTTCTCCAAAAAATAGCCCAACTGTGGTTATTTTTCAGATCAGAGCATCGCCTATCATATTAGAGGTTTAGTGAAATTATTTGCAAGAAGGTATTTCGCTCAGTTAAGGTAGAACACTTTGTGTACTTCAGAAATATTGTCTTTGTACGCCGCATAGGACTATACTAATGAATGATTTGTAGATTTGGATAACGTAAGGATCTGATCAAGGCGCCCCATAGAAGTATCATTCACTTAGCAATGAAATTTAAAAGCTGAGCGCTTCAAAATATCGTCCCAAATGTTATATGAAATGCTAATTACCTTGATTTCTTCTGGGACAGAGTGTATCCTTCTTACCAGCAGTTCAGGTGGTATGGTCGAAAATCATACCTAGCTTAGTTTCTTTGCTTAGGTATTTTGTAGTGCGTATTACCTATAAGATCTCTGGTAGCACAAGTATTTTGCAAATGAAATCTGCTTGTGTACAAATATCCGTCATTCAATACGTCTGTCACATCCATTGATCAGCCCAAAGGAGCCAGTTGCTTGCACAAGCAGTTGCCAGATTACAACTGAATAGTACTTACATACTGACCTAGACCAATGTAACAATGGTATAATGCGAGCGGAAAATTCAAGCCTTGACAGGTCCCGTGGGATGACTTTGTGAACTACGTAGGTATAAAAAACTGCTTGCATTAAAGTGAAACGCACATCTGTGAACTTACCATAAGGCCCACGTAAACACTCAAAGGATTCCGCTTACCCCCCCTATTCAGTAGAGGTTGGTGAGCGCAGTGTTTGTCTCCGTCTTGTCGTCACTCAATGATCAGAAATCAATTCAAGTAATGTGTGATCGCGTCGCTTTTTTTAAAATGGGTAGGTTGGGCGCAGAAATGACAAAGGTTGGAAAGGGGTTCCACGGTTGCCAAATTCTGGGGCAAATAATTCCGGGGGCATTGCAGCCGACTATTTTCAGCTGATGGTTTTTCACTTTTATGTTACGGCTACGCTTCAGGAGGTGGGGGCAAGCGTGAAGGGGTCTACCAAGATCTGCTACGCCACAATGAGGTAGCGCAGTAGATGGCGATGAATTTCACTGCACAGACATAGAGCTTTCAGTCACAGGTGTTATGGCTGATAGACGAATCCCTTTATATTTGTGGATGCCCTTCGCTCTGGGGTCTCCAATGCAACCAGATCGCGCTTAAGGCATCTTTTCTCGGCCTAAAGCACGTACTCTCATTAGGCCTGACATATGCTTTAAGCAGTTGGGGTAAGATAAAAGAGTTGAACCGCCCGAATGCCCGCCGTAACAGACCAACATGCTGCTTTGCGGTGTTGCACGCCTTCATGGACTGCGTAGAACAGTGGAGGTGATCATGCATCACCACCCTAAGGTCGCGCTGCTGTGAGGCGTTCTTCAAGATATGCTCTCCAACACCATATGCCTTCGTGGAGCATATTGAAGTCGTAGCACTTTTGATGTATCCTCGGCGGTTTGATCACATCAATTTGCTGGTATCAGTGGTGAAACACCACGCTTCATATTCTTAGGACCGTAAATCGCATTGTTTGATTGTCCGAAAAAAGTCAATATGTTTCTGGGGAGTTTCTGTATTAAGGTACATAGTCGCAAAGTGTGTTTACTTGCTCACTCAGCCTCAGAGTGCTCTCCATCTTAGGTTTGTCTATCATGATTTCTTTGTTCGTTAGTGCCAACCAAAGCACGGATGGCTTATTTTACGCTCCGAATCAGATGAGCGAACTGATATGGTTGAAGAGCAGAAAGCTTACAGTAAGCTCCTGCAGATCGGTCTTGAATCGTTCGACAGGGAATGCCGAAAATTCCAGGTAGTGGACACTGGATTAATCTGGGCTGAGTACTTGCCTGTATCATCTTAGTAGGAGGCTTTCAGGCGTGAGTTCAGCTCTCGGTTGGATATTTGGAGACGATGAATAACTGCCGCAAGGCAAGTGTCGTTGCATCTTAGTCGCAGACTTCACCAAAGTGAGTCTATGATCAGTGTTTCCGGATCGTCTACCGGTTTGCACTGCAGATCACTGCGGTAGTATAAATATATCTACTTCCTTACTGTTACGATCGGATCGAAGAAGAGATATACCGTGTATCGCGATTTTGGCGCTGGTAATTTCTGCGTGCAACCAATTTTCAGATACGAATATGAGGTCCCCGGTATATGGTGCTTGACGCAGACGCAATATAACTAGCTTGTTTATGAGACCTTGTGCATTCGGATACGTTCAAAGAAGTTTCGCTGTTCTCACTAGTGAACCGGGGTCGTGCATTTTGGGTGTAATATTTTGCTAACCGGTGTAAGATTGGCCACTTGTCCTTTTTTGGTGGAGCGGGATTGAACCCGTTTGTGTCAGATTCAGGGATGTGGACAATACCAATTTGCTCATCTAAGTGCATGTAACGTATGAGACGTGTTCGCCAATGCCGTCAGCTACCTGAGTAGTTATCCGAACTGTTGTCAGGAAGTTTCTCGATTAGATCGCTGTTCTCGTGTGTGCATAAAATAAGCTGCTTTGAGCTGGAACCCGGAAGCTATGCTGCTGCGACCTGCATACTCGCCATCTAATACCCTCGTTGACAAAAGGATAGACTGAAGCACCACCTTCAAAATCCTCTACTCCCGTGCTTTTACCTTGGTGCTTTGCTTAAGCACGGGATTGATTGCGTTGCGATGTTTTTCCAGCGGAGGGTCTCGCGAAAATAATGCCACTTCTCCTGGTCGTGGGTGGTCGCTTCGCGATCATTGTCCTCCAGCTCGTGAAAACCGTGTAAAATTATGCTCCTGACTGTGAATTTCTTCCGGTATTCCTTTAAGTCGTGCTTCGCCTGTTTGCGCTCGCTCCACGAAATATCCATTCGCAAAGCGAGCTGTTGATAAGAAGATAGCTTCTGATTCATTGGCGGTAGTCACTACAACTCGGATAAGTCTCGTTTCGCCGTAGAGCTCTGAGTTTGGAGGACGGCTGATCCGTGTCAATTTGACTGGCTTTCAACTAATTAAGTCCCGCTGGTTCACATCATCATTTTGCATTCCTTTTAAGGTATTTGACCTCGATTCTTGAACGTTTGGGAAGGTTATCGATGGCACACTATGTGGCTTCGTGACGATCATTTGTGTAGCTTGGGTTGGGGTAGACTACCCAGATAGCCTAAATATAATTGGTGGAGGCTGGGTAAACATAGTTTCGCCATTTTTATTAATTTCGTGTCCAGTTAGATTGTTTGAAGGCATACGTTTCCTGTCGCGTTTGGAATTAACCCCATCACAACTACCACTAGTTCGACGTCCACCCAAACTTTTGGTACAGTAGGGCTTGCGGACCAGTCTCTGATCTTACGTATACCAAGCGGACTGGCAATAGTTGTTTCAAAGATAGTTGGACCACTGGTGGTATACATTCAACTCAGCAGTTGACACCTTTTCAGCGCTCTGTCCAGCCTTCTTTCTTCATTAAGAAAAATGCCTACTAGGAAGGACTGGGGCTTAATCGCTGTCACACTTCCTCCTAGTGTAGCTATTTTGGTAGCCCTGATTTTTTCAAACGCTTCCTCCAGTCTATCGTCTTGGTGCAAAGGTACAAGTACAATCTTTACAAGTTTGATGACCATGCATATTGTACAGAAACACAGTGAATCTGACGTACCAATGTGTACCTTTCCTTGGGTTGTTGTTAGCTTCACACGCTTACAGTGGTATTAGCCATGCCAATTGGAAAACTGGAACGCTGTACGTACGTTCCTCTGGCATGAAGTATAGCCAGATAATACTGTCATTATTTCGCTTCTTCGTACTGGTTGTCACAGCGACCGTGGATCCATGCCATTCCGATCAACGGTTGCGCGTCGGAGATGCCAGTCTGTCCTCTGCACACGGAATTACCTGTCTTCGCTGGGGCGATCAGTTCATTTGCCCGTGCTGCAGTTCTACCGTAGTGGGGCGGACATATCTAAGTAGTTTGCTCGGCTGAATGTCCGCGGTCATTTTGTGTGAAGGCAAGGTAAACTTACCTAAAGGTTTTCTAGGTTTAGCTGGGAAAACGTTGTTTGGTATCTAGCTGCTTCACACAATGTTGATTGGGACGGGTAAGAGCTGGTTCCAAAGCTGTCGAAAGGCTCTGTTGTGTGTGATCACAATTGTGGTTCGACGGTTACAGCTGCGTAAACTTTTGCATGTGGCCAGTGGCGAATTACCTCTGGGGGATTTCATATCCGGATCAATGTAGTATGTACCAGTAGTGTTCTCAAAACTGGTAGTGGTGCAAGACGAACAGGTGTAGAGTTATGGTTGTGTGGCAAAAGGCGGCAGAAGATAAGCAAATAAACCAAAAGTGTACGAATGCGCGGCCAGCACTCTGAGTGGCTCAGACATTGAAGAAGTTGCAAGATCACACCATTTATTGTTGTCAGTCCACATCTCGTGTTGGAGCAAATTATTTTTATGCATATTTGTAACGGATGCCATCAAGGTTCTCACTTATGATTTAAGACTAAAATTCTTGGTAAAACCTGGTTGTCACAAAGGAAGCATTCAAAACGTTCTACTGAATTGCAACACATTAATCGCTCTCTACACGATTAGAAAACGCATAAGTACAAATAATTTTTTGTAATTCATTTCAATCTTTATCGTAACATTTCCTTGTTTGAATCTTCATTATCTTTTGATTTGTAGATTCCTAAGTAATATACAAGAAAATTTTCATGGGGACACGACTGAGTTGGCAGGAGGAGACATAAGTGCTAACTCGGGATACACAGATGCTCAGACAAACGGTAGTCTCACCGGTGAATATTCCATGTCAATTCAACAGCAACTAGTACGCTGCATGCCGCCAAAAATGGACCGAACGGCGAAAATTCTTAAACCTATGACATTGGTTGAATTGGTTCCATCTGTGATATTCTTCTATGGTTTGACCTTTTATTGGATATTTGGGTTTGGTTGGTACGGTCCAATCAGTTTTATAGGAATCGCTCTGTTTGGCAGCATGTTAGGTGAACTATACGTACACTATTGGGTATGAGATACACGCATTACCTTCATCTAGAGAAACTACAACCGCTTGTGCCACTATTTTACCAGAATCCTTCAAGTGCAACTTGTTGAAAATACAATTTATAGAATCAACGAAATACAACTTTTACACACAGCTTTCCGCAAGTTCTCTAAAAGTGTTTAAATGTATGGCTGCAAAACGTTTGTTCGACATGGTCGATTATCCACGCTATCCTAATCCGTCAATTGTGATTTACGTTATTTTAAAAATGCACATGGCTTTCGATCACCTTGGAGCAACGGAAAACAGTTCCCCTTGAAAAACGTATTGGAATGTTGAATGAATGTAACTATATTGTTGCAAATATAGTGAACATCGACAAGTTTTAATAATTGTCGTTTACGGTTCCTTCTAATAAATAAACAAATTAATCAAATAATGAATTTGTATATTTACCAACTGACAGTACGCGGCCCTAGTCTTGCTTGACACTTTTGTTTGTGCTGGCGAGCAGATGAAAGGTACGAAATTTATCACATTTGCTATCCTTTGAACAACATTCACTTTAACTTTATGCAAAATTTAAACTGGCATCCAGATTCGTTATTTACTTGTGACATCTGTTGTGAAAATCCTTACCAATTTTACCTTTGTCGTATTTTCGCAATCGGCAAGTTGAAGGAACCTTTTCAAGTATGGATGTTTTTGTTTTTTAAATCTACCTTGCTCATTTGTTAATAAAATATTCACATGTAAATCTCTTATGGGTATCGAACAATTCGGCAAGGGAAACCGGACCAGATTTCTGCAATAATAACATAAGACTAATTTTGTGTGATGTCATTTCGTACATTCTCGTTGGCCACGTACATACAAATAGTAAAGGATCAAAAATGAGCCTACGTCAAATCGAATACTGGTCACTACACATTTAACCAAAGCTATCAGTAGTGCACACCTGAATCTTACAGTGACGTGCGAAATTCAGCACGTCAGTTGGCTCCCGTACGTAGGCATAGTGCTCACACGAAGACCAAATGGTTCACTCCGAAGGCCAGTCTACTGGAATGCGACCTAAATGAGTCAATAGCTACGATTTTCGAGCTTTCTGCGGATACATTAAGAGAGCTTTTTAGTACGAACTTTATTTTATCGAGCTCAAATGAATTAAGCGACAGATACACCGGAAGAAGAGGCGGAACGTCAGTTTTAGGTGCTACATCCTAACGGTTATCCGTTACAGGTTCATAAATTGTTTCCATGACAGTGAAATGAGATCGAGAAATAACAATTCAAAAGAAACCGGTTTTAATTGAGTTGTTTTTCGTAGGTGACTGCTTAATGAAAGTCACCGCGAAACAAATAAGCGTCTGTATGAAAAAGGCATACACTGCAGCAGTGTTACGCTTGCTTATGTCCGCAAGCCCACTGCTTAAGTGCTCATTGTGGACACCGAATCAAAGCAGAGAACCTCCCACTGCCTATACAAACTCACATATAGCTATGGAAACAGCGATGTTGGGTACACTGCTCGAAATTTAAACGTCCGGACGAACAAACCAATCAAAATGGCTGCGCACATGGATGAAAAAGCGACGGTATTATTAGGCGAATCGAGACGCATTCGCCCCAGCATTTACGAAGCATTTGATTGACACCGGCTAATATTTTCAAGCTCCTTCAGGTTTTGGTTATCGATCGACAGCCCTCAACACTCTACAATCAAAAACAGCTGACGTTGACACTAAGCCTGTCGTAGTAGCGAATAAAGCACCAGTCATACACAGTCGACCAACAATCTACTTGATGTGAACTTGATTTGGTTCCTTTGTAATTTATTTCTACTTGGCCAACGATAATGCGCGAAATGACAGTGTCATCCCACAACATTCGTCTTCTGATATTCTTATTTGGAATCCTGGAGTGAATTTCCTAGACTATATATGTGCTAAGCGCAGGGAATAGAAAACGCGTTGCTTTTCAACAGCCGAGGTTGACACTTCCATGCGTTACGGTTGTCCAATTATTGTTCAACTTTCAAATTTCCACCACTTCCTCTTTACCGGAGAGTTGCAGATTACCTACTCTATTGCTTTACCGCTTCCTTTGAATATGCAACTACCCAAACGCATTGCTTTTGCATTATAAGATGCATAACTTGAACGGACGCTTTTGTAACGTCTAAACATAACCATTCATTAGCGTGATCGGCTCAGCGAGTTACAGTGGTTTTCTAATACATGTATCCGGGAGGAACGTTTATAAACCTGTAATATCCAAAGTAGTTGTAGGGTTTCGGTGTTGTTCTCGCTCATTCCTGTCCACCACGACGCGTTTCGTCTTGGTTTGGACTCATCTGGTAGAGATAGCCTGAACAGGGAGTGGAGCTCGGCACACACTTGTTGGCGGCTTTTACAACCAAAAACCGACAATCAATTTTTAACCGTTGTGCCGAGCTCTGTCCGGATAGCTCAAGTATCTAGTGATCATGATGATATGCGCCAACCACTGTGTGCATAATTCCACTCTCAAACCTGCACGAAACCGTCGGTTGTGGATTGCTGGGATGGCAGAGATCAACACCGATACCCTCCACTTCGGTCGGATACTGGCTTAGTGATCAGAATAGTACAGGCTGACTTCAAAGACAACCGAAGCCACAGTTGAGATTTCGTATCCTAATCCGAAACATACGGCAGGTATTCCAAAATTCGACAATCAGCTGGAGATACAAGTGTTCCGTCAACCATTTCTCCAGTAATGAACTTTAGATGACTAAATGGCATCCATATATCGGTGCTTGCTGTTTTCGGGACAACTCCAGTAGGTTATTTTCTAACCGAAAAATATTCTGTTTCTTTCTTGATCGGAATGTCCAGAGATTTTGTATTAGCCCTCTTAAACGTTATGTAGCTAAGGGCTGTGTGTACTGAGGATACCGCCTACTTCTTGTGGCGATCTCATACTTGCAAAACAACTTAGTGCTGAATGCCATTTCTCGACCGAGTCTGGTACACCGCTACCATGAAACACGTACGAAAATCCCTAAAGAATGCGTTACGAAACCAAGTTATTACCATTGAAAGAAACCAAATTTGCTAAAATTCTGTCTCAGCTTACCATCACATGCGTTCACCATCCCAGTGTTGTTCATGAATCTGTATACCTGCGTTTTGCTAAACATAGTGAAACAGCAAGTCAAAATTTTCACATGTAGATAAATTGGTCATTTCACTCAGATTGCCTAAAGTTCATCAGAGGTCTAAATTGGTGTAAAGTTGCCTGGCATTAAACTAAGTCAACTATTAAGTAGACTCATTGTTGTATCTTTAACCAAAGCCGTTTCCACGACCAGCCACAACACAATCTTTTTGTGTCCATATCGTTAACTATTTTCCATAGCGCAAACATTCCAGCTGCCAGTGTATTTTGTTGCAAATGACGTCCCACATTGTCATCTGTTATTAATCCCAATACCGAAAATACTAAAGGAAAAATGCACGGCGTGGTTATAAATCGTGCTTGCCATCGACTGAGAAACTTTGATATCAGCATAGTCTGAGGTAATTCACCTTGTGTTTGTTGGTTTATCATTCTATTTTAACCCTAGCCTCACATTCTCAGGGGAAGCAACGCAGGTCTCGAAAAACGTCGGAATGAATTTTGCAACTAGTGAACTGTGTCGCACTTCGGACGTCAATGGGCATAATAATGTCGTCTTATTCAGCACGGATATCATGTGAAGATATTAAAATGCTAAGACTATGGGGGGTGACTATATGCTCTACAGAGAATTGTCGTGGCTTCATTCGCACCACTCCATTCACATGTGTGCTGAACGTTCTTCCTACTGGTTGGGTTACGATAGAAAAACGTAATTTGAAGATCTTTAACCAGTAGATTAAGCCCATGTCATTGATTTAAATTCATCACACAGATACTCAGTCACGTGCCCATTACACTTTCACCAAAGCGCAAGCCAGTCGTTCACCCCTTTGGAGATCGTCAGCAGCTGGCATTCCAGCTGCTCTCCATGAGGCTTAAACCGGTGCCCGATCTTAAAAGCAAACTGGACATATCGGAGTACATGTGACTGACATCTGACTGTAGATGAGTGTTAATTATGCCTATGCGGTTTCATTGGGTTTGCCACTATTTTACGAATTGGCTTGGATTTAGATTAGCTGCCCCTCATTTGTTAAGTGTTGAGATTTCACTCGAAGGCTCCGCTTAATTGCGTAAACAACGCGCAATGGATCACATGCACGGTGTTTCTTTTGTGTTTACCGCTATAATCTATTCTCTTACTTAACGCTGAACTCGCACTTGTTCCTCGGTTTCCGTAGCATGCGTCGCCTTGTAATATTCAATCTCGGGAGAACTCCAGAGATTGGAACTGGAGATTTATTGCGAAACACGTAGCGAACTAAAATAGAGGAAATAATGTTATAAAAAGGAAAATAAACGTTACAGGCAATCTTCTGCTGCTTGCACTTCTTCCGCTTAAGCGCACGACTAGGTTCCTGCAAGGCAAATGAGAGCGCAGCGTGAGCACCAGTTCAAAGTCAAGCAGCGCGCCACGACAGTTTCCGTTCCACACTACAGCCTGTGTTTCACTATCGTAGTTGCAACCGTCCCACAGTCCGGCCTTTATTCAATTGTGTACAACCATTGCAAATGATCTGTAGAGGTACTTTGTATCCCCATATATTGGAAGTGGGTTCTTAAAAACAGCGACTAACACCATGGCTTGAGAAACAAGATTTTCCGTCTGTTGATAAATATTCGAATATCCTTTAGATCGCCATATGTAGCAGAGTCTAGTTGTCTAAATCCGTTTTATGATCGGTATTATAAACAGTCATGCATTTGTAAGAGGCTTGGTTTATTTATTTGCGTATACCTATCCCGGAGTAAACTAGCACCCTCTAACAAGCGCCAGTTAACACTGACACAGTACTCTGAGAGTAGTACGACTAGCTGAGCGCATTGTTTCCATATTCACAAGTCGGAATCAAGAATATCGCAGGACTCAAGCTTGAAAAACGGTTTCGCAAAATGATCTTGAGAGGCCGGTTCATCACTAACAATCCAACCGCGCAATTATTGGGACTGAAGGTTAAGGGAGGGAAAAGCTATGGCCGAGTATGTGAAAACTTCATTTGTGCCCATGTTTGCCTTAAATACTGCCATGCATTTCATCGAAATGGGTAACGACCGCTAAAATTTCTCTGTTTAGGTGCATTTATTGTAACGTAAAGCTTTGTTTTTCTGTCAAATGTCGG